AAACATACAAGTAGGGTTGGATGAGAGTCGAGTGAGAAAGAGCCCTACTCGACTCTCTGGTTGTGATTGTTTTGGAAAGTGGTGACCGGAGGCTTCAAGATGACCTATGGAAGAAATAATTATCCCCTGCAATGAACATCAAGAACATAAGTGTGATGTTCACTCACTAAGAAATTCTTGATGTCTTATTCATGATTTAAGGCAGGGATAACCAACTTTGGCCACTTGAGGACTTATGGATTTCAACTCCCAGAATTCTCCAGCCATCAAGTCCACAAGTCTTCGAGTGGCCAAGGTTGGCATTCTTGATTTAAGGGATGCGATCCTCTAGTTCTTTTAATTTCTTCTAAACGAGTAAGCCTTGCTCCCACTGAAGGTTGTGAATTCCCCGAGTTAGCAAGGAAGAGCTCTCCACAACCCCCACCTATGTAGGTCCCAGCCTTGTTCTTTGTGGACCTCCTGTGGCAGGTCCTTCTTTGAGCTGATGGTTGGCCTCCATCCATTGCAGGGCTCCTGAGCGCCTTCCCCATGTTTGGTTCCTCGTTCTTCTACATTCAGAGTTGCAGCAACACCACCATTATTTCACCCTGTATCCTGGCTGTGAACCAGAATGGGCTGAATTTTCTCCACAAGGAAACTCATGTAGGTGTTGCGTGTTTGTTCCTTTTGACCTCTCAGGAGTTTTTCTTCTGTTCCGGTTGCTTGCTTGCTTTCTGCTATGGAAAGTAGGCTTGGACTTCATGCCACTCCTTGGGGGAAACCCTGAAAGGGGTTTACCAACAGATAGTCCCGCAGGATAATTAAAAACGATGAGTTCTCTGCCTCAAAATATGGAGGATCTCATCTGCAGCATCGGAGCAAAGCTCCCATTGAACAAGCCAGGAACAAATCTGATCATTACTTTAGAATGTACAGAGAGACAAGCACACATCCCCAATCACATTCCCACAACGGATGTATCAAAAAGGAAGAAAGAATTGAGAGAGGAGGTGTCCTCCAGGGTCAACTAGGTAGAAGGGAGTTTGGAGCTGTTTTGTGGGAGAATCTCTGCAGGAACTTTCGTGACTTCACGCAAGATGTGAATGGGACGGACACGGGCGTTAAGGGACTATATATACACGATGCATGGGATCCAAAACCAGCTCAGGGCCTGGGCTTCTCTGGTTCTTAGCCACAGGGGTCAGGGAGGGTCTGGGGCGACAGAAATGGTGGCTTAGGTTGCTGCTCTTCTTCTAAAAGTTTTCTCCTCCACGGCCTAGGAACCCATTGTGACGTTCTCTCTGAAGGAGATCCACTCCACTCGGACCCAGAGACCCTCGGCTGGATCCAGCTACCCCTACGTGGAGATTATGCTGGGAGATCTGATGTCTCACAGGATCACACAGCTGCAGCTTAAGCAGGTATAGCAGGGGAAGTGCAGGTCCCAGGAGAACCCCACGATTTCTCCACAGCAGGACCTGGTCAAGGAAGTGGTTGATGGGTTCGAGGCCTGTCATTCAAATTGTCGAGTTTTTCTTTTTTTCTTTTTTGAAAAAAGTTAAGGAATTGCTTCTCGGGGAAATCGTTGGGAGAAACTAGGGTGGGTTTTCTTTAAAGTGGCTTTTGTGCACAGCCCCATAAATGTGTAGTGAAAGTTTTGAGGGCTCTTTCTCAGACAAGGCAGTTGTCAAATTTTAAGCCACAAAACAAAAAGTCTGAAAGACAAGCAAAATGAGGAAGATTTGTTTATTTATTCCACGTAATATCTAAATAAAAAAATGAGAAAGATGCAAACCATTATTTAAATTGATCTGTGGATTTGGTTGGATTTTGCAGCCAGAATTCCTTGTTTTCCTTGTTTGAAAATTTAGACTGCCTGGTTGTTAAGAATGTGTACAGCAAGCTTGGCCAGATTTTTCAGAATATATTGACTCCATGATATGTTAAGACGTATTTTGACTTTGTTGGAAATATGTTGAAACTCGGTGAAATAAGCTTAACTCATTTTCCTCCTTTCTCTTTCTGTCTCCTTCCCTGTCTCTTTCCCTGTCTCCTCCCATTGGCTTTGTGAAGCTTAACCTTCAGATGGTAGGTGTTTTCCTCATAATAATTCTGATAAGGTATTGGGGTGCAACCTTTGACGTGTTCCAGGTGCTTCACTTTGTTTTGCTGTCCTGACCCCCCACATCTGCAGAGTAGGGCAAAACAGCTGTCCAGGTTCTATCGGAGGGGCAGGACAGATGGGGGTTGATCTAGGATCCGTGAGCTTAGGATGGGAGAGCATTAGAAGTGCTGGAAGTCTTCAGTGAGTCGAATCGGCTGACCCAGCATGGCAGATCATGCAGCGTTTAACGCTCTGAATAAACCCCCCAAGGGGCACGTCCTGACTTCCGTGGTGTCCCCTTTTCCCCTGCAGGGCCTGGAACTGTGTCGTGTCATTGCCACCCACATGGAGAGCCTGCTGCATGCCCGCGAAAAGCAGCTGACGCTGCCCCCAAGCGAGATCACTTTGTTGTGATCACCGGCTGCTCTGCAGTCTCTCTCTCTCTCTCTCTCTCTTCCAGATCCCAAAGCAGATCCTGGCCCTACGATTGGAAGGTGTTTCTGATGTCAACTCCTAAAATATTTCTATGGTCATTTTAGAGTTGTCAACAGAAACGGAGGGGGAAAGGGGTTTGAAAGAGCAGTGCGGCAGCATGGAAACTGAAAGTGCATTCCATAAATAGTCTTTCAGATATTGTAACTAGACGACTGAAGTTTCTAATTGGAGAACATGATGGATGACTCTTGGCTATGGAGGTGTCCCATTGGAGAATATGAATTATGATACACCCAGGGAGTGTGGGGAAACCTGGGTCAAGGGTGACAAGGAACGACGTGCCTCAGAGTCAGCTATACCCAGGCAGTGCTGGACATGTTAACTCCCAATAAATCCTTTGGAAGCTTGGCTTCAGACTCATGATTTAAATGGGGGTTCCTGCCGGAATCCTGACAGCTAGCCGACTCTCATAATTCATCATCATTACTGGGCCATCTGACACCCGGCCTCTTCCATCGCTTCCCGACATCAGCTGTAAGCAGCTCATCCTGGAGGGTTCAACGACATCCACGTCGTCACTTCCTGATTTAGAGGTGGGAATGTGAACGAAGCGACTCCAGGGCATTGCATCCGGCTGGTTTGTGCGATGTAGTAGAGGCTTCTGGCTTCCCCAGATCTCTTCAGATGCTGAATCGCCTGACTTAGCGGCAATTCCAAAGGACTCTTAGCGGCATCTGGTTTTTTTTAATGTGGACTAGAAGCATCACCTGATGTTTCATACAGACTTCACTTATTCTATATTAACCAGCTGATTTGGCCAACAAAATGCCGGCCAGACAACACATTCTCCTTTGGGTGTAAATTGGTGGTTATGGCCAAAGGGAGAAATTATTTCGCTGTAGCAGGCCAAGTTTTCACTTGGCTCAATTTTCTGCTTCCAACAGCTGATGGCCAGATGTTCTATAAAAATGTCTGAGTGAAATAGGATGATGATTCATCTACTGTTTGTATCCAGACTAAATATATGTATTAAAAAAGTTTTTAGAATTGTTTTTTTTTAATAATTATTCTTCTCCTGTTTCATGTATGGCTCTCTAAATTGTAGCTCTTTTATTTATTCATTAATAAAATCAGTCTGTCTTTAGAACTTACATTCTGTTTCATATTAAGGCAAGATGTGGCAGCTGTATAAAATAGCGGCTTTGGAAACATGACATCAAAAGGAAGACACGGGGATACAGCCAAAAGAGCAAAATCTGAGGTGGCTCTTCTGCACCTCCCTTTTGCTGTAAGCTTGGTGTCGCGTCCCCCCCCCCCGTTGGAGCAGCCCTCCCCATGGCTCCGTGTTCTGCAGCTGTATGGATTTCCCATTTCCATCTTCTGCTTTTGTACTCGGTGCCATTGTGATTTCCTAGTGGTCTCCCATCCATGGCTGTCTTGGCTCTGCAGACCTGCAAACGGGGCTTAGACGGCAGCGCTTTGGTAGCCCCTTCAATGGTGCTTCTCAACTTGCTCAGTGTGCACAGCCGGCCGGGATGCCCTCGTTTGCCACGGGGGTGTGCGCGGATTTTTAAAATGTAATTTTATTTGTTTAGTTGATTTGTGTCCATCTCGTCTGGAAGTGGCCCTGGGCCGCTTTCGCTCTATGCACTGCAAACCAGACCCTCCAACAAAGGCCTTTTGGGGCTACAAGCATGCTCACAAGGGCTGGCTGGGGATGATGGGTCTGGATCTTCAGCTGGAAGAATCTGCAAAAGGAATTTCCGATAATGCTTCGATGTTGGCCAGAGTCGCCCGCGCAAAGCATCATGGGAGGCACCAACTTCTTGGCTTGCAGTCACTTTGGCCGGCTCTTCGCGCGCGGATTTCACTTCGGCCAATCAGCGAGCAGCCTTTTCAGGTAACTCCGCTTGGCAGGGAAAGCGTAGCCAATGGGCGCCAAAGTAGCCACGCCCTCAGCCTTACCTCGCTCTCCCGGCGAAAACTCGTCAGGCACCTTCACACCGCTCGGCGAATGCATGCTTTGTGCGCCTGCGCTGTTCCCCGGCTGAGCATGCGCGACGGGGCCCCTCCAAGTCCCTCACGCACGCATTTTACTGGCCGCTTTCATTTCCGGCCGCTGTAGGGAAATACCCCTTGCATAACATTCGCGGAGGGGCATTTTGCAACTATCGGGAAACGCCTTTCCGATTCTCATTTTCTTCCAAAAGAAAGTCCCTGCCCCGACCCCGAGGCAAACGGAGCATTCCGCAGGAGCTTTCTGACTCTCAAACAGCCCCCGCCCCCACTGCGTGCCGCTCTACCCCCTCCGCTCGTTGGTGGCGAGCGCCGCATGCGCAGGGCCCTCCTGGGCGGGAGCCCGCTTCCTTTCGTCGCGCGGCCGGGGCGGGGCTTGTCCGCGCCTGCGCACTGGGGCGCGCCGGCGGCTGCGCCTGCGCGGGAGGTGCGGCTTGCGCTCTGAGGAGGAGAAGGAGGAGGAGGAGGAGGATGCCTTGAAGTTATTTATAATGTCGGGCCGGCCGCGGGTGACGTAGCGAGCCGTCCGGGCAGCGGCAGCCTCGTTCGCCGCGCCTGCGCCGCCATGAAGGGAGCCGGGCCAGCGGGGCGGCGGGAGCCGGACTCGGGAAGCGCGTGGTGAGGGCGGGCGAGCCGGCCGGAGCGCGGTGAGTCCGGCCGGGCAAGGCCCCGGCGCCCTTCCTGCCCTCCCCGCGCCCGAGGGTCCCTCGGCGGGGCCTCTTCCCTCCTGGGGTGGGGGTGGGGGAGCTCCTGCCTCGTTGACTCTGCTGGGGGTCGCAGCCTGAACCCCCCCTCATCCCCCGGGTGACCACGTGACAGGGAGAAGGCGGGGTCTGCTCCTCCTCCCCGGGGGAGCGGAGCCTTGGGGACCCCCAGGGAGGAGCGTCCCCACCTGGCCAGACCCCCCACCTTTGGGGGGTCTGATAAGCAGCAGAGGGCAGGATCGGGGGCGGGGGACACACCGGATGTGGAAGGATCCGCAGAGGAGGAGCTGCTCCCCCCTCCTCTTTCGGGGGGGGGGGGTGGCCGGCAGGAGCCCCCCCCCCCCCCCCCAGGCGACTGAGTCACTCCTGGGAGAATGCTGCGCTTTCCCCGCTGGGGTCAACGGGGCCACTTCCTGCTCGGAGCCCGATGGGGAAGGGCCTAAGTGGGCCCTTTTGGAGGGAGGGGGCAGGGGAAGACCGCTTGGCTCGCCTGGGGCAGTAAGGGGAGAGAGCAGAGGATGGGGAGGGGGTGTCTTCGCCCTGCCTGACTTGTGTCCCCTGTGGGGCCAGCAGCTTAGAGGGGGCTGAAGGGGGGAGGCTCTTCTGCCCCCTTGCCCAGGGAAAGGCTGGCAGGATGGGTTCGGGGCGGGGGGTGTTTACACTTTTTCTCCCCACCGTCTCCTGTAACTGGTTTCTTCTCCCTGCAGGTGAGATCTCAAGGTCTTGGCACCACACGTTGGAGGAGTAAAATTGCTGGCTGCAGGTGGAAATGCCGGGCTCGACGCCTGTCTCCTTTCAGGCCTTGGGCTGAATACGTAGTTTTGTCGCAAGACTTTTGGGGTCCCCTTGCCCCTGTTCCTGGGGGGGCAAGGGGAAACTCTTGGAAGGGAGAGGGGGCACCTTCCCCATCCAGAAGGGCCCTTGATTGAGGCGGAGGCCAAGCTGTCGGCCTTTGGTTTTCTTTCCTCCTGGCGCTCGTTCTGCAGCGCCAGACCATGCCGTGAACGTTCGAGCAGGCCATCCCGCTTACCAGCCCTTCCGACCGCGCCTCAGGGAATTGAACCGAGAGGGCAGCGGTGACCAGGGGACTGGCCATGGCTGGGAGTGGATATACAGACCTACGAGAGAAGCTCAAATCGATGATACCTTATCGGGACGGCTACAAGAACAGTGGCGGCGGCGGCGGCAGCAAGAGCAGGCGGGATCCTGCCGAGTCCCCCTACGGAGCTGGCGGGGGAGCCCCTGAACGCAAGCGGAAGCACCACCACGATTCTGACTCCGAGCCCACCGACTCCGAGGACCCCCCGCGGGAGGAGGAGGAGGAGGAAGAGGAGGCCCAGAAGGTCAAAAGCGGCATCCGGCAGCTGCGCTTGTTCAGCCCCGAGGAGTGTGTCAAGATCGAAGCGCGCATCGACGAGGTGGTCTCCCGGGCTGAGAAGGACCTGTACAAAGAGCACACGGTGGACAGGGCCCCCCTCCGGAACAAGTACTTCTTTGGGGAGGGCTACACCTACGGGTCTCAGCTGCAAAGGCGAGGCCCCGGCCAGGAGCGGCTGTACCCGCGGGGGGAAGTGGATACCATTCCCGAGTGGGTTCACGACCTGGTCATCCGCAAGCTGGTGGAGCACCGGGTCATCCCCGAGGGCTTTGTGAACAGTGCGGTGATCAACGACTACCAGCCGGGGGGCTGCATCGTCTCCCACGTGGACCCCATCCACATCTTCGAGAGGCCGATTGTGTCGGTGTCTTTCTTCAGTGACTCAGCGCTCTGCTTTGGATGCAAGTTCCAGTTCAAGCCCATCAGGGTCTCCGAGCCAGTCTTCTTCCTGCCCGTGAGAAGGGGGAGTGTCACGGTACTCAGGTAAGGAGAGGCCTGCCCAGTGACCTGGTTCGCTCGAGGCCACCTGAGCCCTTTTCGTCTCTCTCTGTGTGTGCCGTTTTTGCGGCTGATTCTGAAAAAGGGAAGGTTTGACTGCCATATTCAAATAGAGTAGAGCTGGAAGGCACCTTGGAGGTTGTCTCAGGCAAACCTCCAGTACCCTCTCTTTAAAAACCTCTAGTGATGAAGTCCCCACAACTTCTGGTGGCAAGCAGTTCTACTGGCTAATTGTTCTCACACCGCTAGGAAATTTATCCTGAATTCTGTTGCTTCTCTCCTCAATTTGTTTCCATTCGTTGCTTCTTGTCCTGCCCTCTGGTACTTTGGAGAATAATTTGACCCCCTCTTCTTTGGGGCAGCCCTTCAAATGTAGGAATAAATATTGGGTTACAGTTTCCAGAGGATTTTGTTGGTTCAGTCTGTCTGGATGTAAGCAGTTCTTGTTTATTGAAAGGCTGGCTTTCAAGTTGTCTTCTGGGAACCTTCAGGGTGTTCGAAGTGAGGATTAGTTGACAAGGTCTGTAACGATGAACAAGCATCAATATTTGGCTTTAGCCATCTCACCAATGCGCTGTTGGGCACTGAGAAGTCGTTTCACAGCACAGTCCCAGATTTGAGTAAGATAAGACCAAAACCCGGTTGCTTAGGTGAACTAAGTGTGCAATTTAGATTGCAGCTGGCAGAACACTTGAGTTCCAGAGAACCGTAGCGGTCAAAGGAAGCTTGACGTGAGCCGCATGGGCGCCCTAACGGGAGAAAGTACTTCATTTTAAGATAAGGGCAGAGCAGTGTGTCCAGAATACGGATAGTTAGTGCTTCCACGTTAGGAGAAAGATCAGCATGGGGAGAAAACCCCAGAGGACCATACTGTAGACATCGGGAATTGAGGCAGGAGGAGGGACATTCTCCCCTCTGCAAAAGGCTTGTGTGGGTTTGCACCTCTACTGGAAATGTTTTGACTGCCAGGGTGCACCTTCCAGCTGAATGCCGGCCTAATGACTTGTTTGCGTTCAGAATGCAAATTGGACAACAGCATGACGGGTCATCGGCTCCCTCCAGCAGCATTTCCAAGAACAAAACGCAGCAGCCTCCCTGGAGCAGCCTGTGAAGGCTGGCATTGCTAGGCCTTGAGGGCCCCTTCCGAGTCAGCAGTTCACCTCTGGCTTTGACCCCTGCGGGGGCGGGGGGGCATGGTGAGGAGGCCTTGCCTGCCATGCTCATAACTGAGGGCCGAGACCTGCCCTTTCCTATCAGGTGGTTTTGGCAGAAGCTCTTCCTTCTCTAAAACATGACTACCTTTTCCCTGGAGGAGGGAGTAATCATTCAGCGATCCTATCCAGAGCAGTTTCTGCTAAAGCTGCAGCTGGACCTTGCAATCCTTGGCTCTTCTCTTCCCCCGCCCCCACTTTCCAGCTCTGATCCCCCCACCCCCCCAATCCAAAACAGAGGATGGAGATGGTCCTGGATAATGAAGAGATAGTAGTGCTGCCTGTGACAATTAGCACCTGGTGAAGATGCTGCTGCTGCTGCTGCTGCTTCACAAGCCCCGAGTGTGAACTAGTGCAAAATGCTGGGTCAGGACAAACCCGTGACAAACTGTATTTATAGGCCTGTAAGCCAGAACCAGTTTCCTGCCAGGATGAGTCAAGCCTCCCCAATGATTCAGTGTTGCCATGGTAAATGGAGGGCAACTGATCTTTGGGGGGGGGGTGTCTGAGGAGTGAACACCCTTAAAAGTGCTCCGTGAGGGGTAAGGAGATCCCCTGCTTGCCTTGGTAAGCTGATCCCTCCACACGATCTGGGAGGAAAAAAAATCTCTGTAGCACAAGCAGGATCTTGCACAACCGCCCAGGTGCATCGATAATAAAGAGAAGCAAAAACTAAAGTGTTATTTCTAGGGCGCCTCGCACATATATTAACTAAGGTTCGTGCAGGGGACAGAGTAGCCTTGATGGTCAGGAAGAGGCCAAGCAGCCGCGTAGAAAATTGACCCCCATAAATCCTGTGGCATTTGGGTAGCAAAGGAGTTTTAGGCAGGGCAACATCTGGGGATACTTAGATGGCTTATCTGTACATGTAGCAAAGCAATTTGCAATTTGTTGGGCAATTTGCAGTTGGTGATGACTCTCTGCTTTCTGGGAGGAGGCTTCTAATTCACCTGTTCATTCACCTGTTTGGCCCAGCCAACACCCCCCAAAGTACCAGCACAGTTGACTCAGGAGAGCATTCTTAGGAAACATGGGTAGCTGGGCAGGTATTGTTTTCACAGCTTTTGCATTCTGTCTAGAAGTTGCTTCTTCAGGGCAGCAGGTTTGGATCTTTTCGTTGTTAATTTTGAATGGGGACCACCCTGGCTCTCTGTTTCCTGTGTGAAGCTGGACCTTATTTATAAGAAGACGGTACAAAGCTCACCTGTGTTTCTGATTGCCCAAGTTGGGAGAAAAAAAGGGGTTCTAACTAAACTGGGGGAGCCCTTTGGTGAGACGGTTTACAGAACCACCTGTGCAGACAGCTGCTTGACTCTTGCAAGATAACCTCCGTTTCCTCTGCCAGTTTACCAAGGCAACCAGTGGGTTTTTTTCCAGGAGCAGAAACCTTGTATGGTTACAATAAGGCCAAGGGCACCATGCAGGGCCTTGACATTTCTTTCCTGGCAGGCTGGTTTCCAAGGTAAGGAGCAGACATCTCACCACTCAGTGCCCTTTAAGCAAGGAGTTTAGACTTCGGTCTGCGGGCAGTTAGGAGGTGCAGTGTTCTCATGCATTAAATGAAAGGCCTCTAAAGTTGGACGTTTTGCTGGCTCAGAAGGGGGACAGCTTCCATTTCTTTCAGGTTTTCTTGAACCTACCGGAAGAGTCTTCAAATCCAGCCAGTGAGCCGGATGTGAACCTTCAGCCAAAGAAGTAGCAACTTCTGAATGCAGCTGCCTTTAGGAGCTATAGAGAGCAGCTGCACGGCAGGTAGGCAGGGACCAGGAGGCCTCCTGCCATTCGACAGAAATTACAAGAAGTGGCCTCTATTCTTTTTGCCTAACTTCTGGCGGAGTGTTGGTTTCTCTCGGGTTGCCCTACCTTCTAGTGTTCAACGCCACAGCTTCTCCAAACCCACCCCCTGGTTCTTCGGCGTGCAACTTCTAGGCTGCGCTTTCTAATATTGACAGTTGCGAGCCTTGTTGCTGCGTTGGTGTTGTTTGTGGTAGGAAAGGACAAGCGCTCCACAACTACACATCGCCTTTGCAACTGATCAACCAGGTTGGAATGTTTTCTTTCTCTTAATGGGCAGTTTTTTTCATTAGAGACAAATTGGAACAGTTCAGTTTCTATCCAGTTCTGGGCAAAGCTTGATCGCAGACGCTGAGTAAACCTGATGAAATTTATTGGGAACGTCACCATATGGTTGACACTCTTAGAATAGCTGAGATCATATTGGATGGTCGACGTGCGTTTCCACTGCAGGCCAAGGTTGGATTAATAGCCATGACGGCTCCAGTGGATCTTAGTAACAAAACTAGAGTCTCAACCACACTGGCTTTATAGGGAAGGGTGTTTTTTTTTTTCCTTTTTCCGTTCAGTTGTGTCCAATTCTCAGAAACTGTCTGGACAAGTTCCTGCAGTTTTCCTGGCAAGATTGTTCAGAAAGGGTTTGCGTTGCCTCCTTCCTGGGCCTGGAAGAAAGTGGCTAGCCCAGGGTCATTCCACTGCTTCATCCCCAGGGCAGGACTGGAACTCGGGACTCCCTGCTTTCTGGCCTGATGCCTTAACCACTACACCAAACTGGCTCTCATGGAGAAGTGACTGGGCTGAACATCAAACCTTCCCCCCTAGGAGTTCATCTGAGGCCCTTTCTCGGAGTGTCTTGCCACCCAAGCCGTAGCAGCTGGTTGTCAGTGAGAAGATAACCTCCATATTGTCATTTCTGTCTTCTGGAGATACTGGCTCCAAATCCTATTGACTGGCCCCGCCTTTTAATCTATCCAGTCTTTCAAATGTATGCTTTACCTGTTTGGCCTCAAATTGGTTTCATTCTGTTTTTACTTTACACATGAGTGTTGCTTAAGAAACACCCTGCAGTGCACAGCCATGGTATTTTCTTGCATTTAAGTGTACCAGACATAGCTTTGTGAGGTGTGCCTACCAGTTAGTACCAGTTAGTACCGACCAGATAACTTACAAAGCAAGAATTGGAGTTTAGTCCTGGAACTTTTTTTGTCTCAGAATTGGGGTTGGTTCTGCAAGATGTTATCTCAGTGCATTTCCTTAGGATTTTGGCTAAAGAATACCTGTGAGCTTATGCCACATGACCTGTCTTGGCCTCTGGAGCTGCGGAGAGCCGGCCTTTTAGACCACAGATACTTGGTTACACAAGCTGTGCCTAGCAAAATATTCCTGCGCTTGCCAAAGCAATTTGATTGGAGACCCAGAGCATGTGAGGGGACCCCACTTGTGCTGGGACAGTATTTGTGGCTCGGAGCTAAGGATCTGGGGGAGGAGGCAGTGGAGTGCTCTTGAGTAGTATTGAAAATATTGGAGTCCCAAATGACTTTCTCTGCAAGGCCTGGCCAATCATTCTTTGAAAGAGGCCACAACGTTTAGCAACCCTTCAAAGAGCAGCCGTGGGCCACAGACTGGCTAAGAAAAGTTCCCACAGTAAACTCCTGTGCTCTAAAACCCCTTTTGTCTCACACAGTGGCTACGCAGCTGACGAAATCACGCACTGCATTCGACCCCAGGATATCAAGGAGAGGAGAGCCGTGATCATCCTTCGGAAGTGAGTGGCGGGACCTCTTTGGCCTCATTGACTGGTTTCTGATGCCCCCTTGGAGTTAGTCCAGTCGATGCTGACTGGTCGTCCACCCATCCTCCTGCTTCTGAGGTGTTGCCTCTTGGAGCATTTATCTAACGGGGGGGGGGGGGGGCAGCCTTCTGTAGACAGGAATCACTGAACCATGAGCAGTTGGGGTTGGGGAGAGGCCAGGAAAAGGGCCGCCTTCGCACACAAATGCCTTTTGCCTTCTTTTTTAAGAACTTGCCATTGGGGGAGGTTGGAAGTATGCTAGGTCAGCGCTTCTCCAAGCGTGGCAAATTTAAGCCCCGTGGACTTCAACTCCCAGAACTCCCCAGCTGCCACACCCCAGCAGAAGGCAGAGGCTCTGTTTGGCAGGCCTTGGTTGTGTTTGAAAACTGTAATGCTTCCAGCCCCTTTTATGCACAAGGAAAAGTTGAATTAAACTCAGCCCTGCGGTTCTACTAGGGCATCCTGCGGTCCTCCTGCTGATAGTCACATGATTGTATCCCAGGATATCTGCATCCTGCTATCAAAGTCTTCGGAGGGCTGGAAGTAGATTAATTACTGCTTTAGTCCAGAGGGAAGCAATGGTGTCACCTTATTTTCGTTAACCTTTGAGATTAGCGTCTCTGGTAATTTGTATCGGGAAAGCAGCTAGAAAAGAGCAGAGAGGCTTTGAGACTTGCACAGTAATAATTACCTTGCAAGCTTATACCTGGCCGTTGTGCTCCCGTAAGCATTTGAAACTACAACAATGGAACCAAACCTGGAATATAAGCTAAAATTATATCTGAAATTAAGACCATGAGGATCAACATTTAAAAGCCATTTATGGAAGAGTGGCAGCTAAAGGCCCCTTCCCGCAAAGGACGTTCCAGGACCTGAGAGCCCCCAGCACAGTACTGCACGCTGTAGCCGCACCTGCGCCGGCCAGGTCAATTTCTAAAGGGCCTCATTGGTCGATCTCAAAGCACCTGGGCAGGTTGGTAGTGAGAGAGGCCGTCCTTTCGTTGCTTTAGCACTTGCAATGCCCGTGCCAACATCTAGAGTTGTGCGCGTGAAGCCTCTGGCTGCCAGCACAGATCTTCCGGTGCCATCGCATGCTCCCTGCACCTTCGGCCGGTCAGCGGCTGGCCCTGCGCTTAGCCAGCAGTGCAGCACCGCGCTGTGTGCCAAGATTGGTGCGCACGCCTCAGTGCTGCAGTCCTGGAGATCCAGCCTTTTGCCAAGAGAGACGAGAGAGAGAGAGAGAGCACGTTGCGGGGAAAGGATCTGGCGCTGGTTTGGATGGAGTGGAAATTCCCTTCAGCTGCCTGGTTCCTGTGTGGTCATAAACACTTCAGGGCAGCTGAAGTGTTTGTGTGGGTGGGTGGGGACTCTTCTTCTAGGCCAGGAAAGTAGTCGATGCACTTGGAGCAGAAGGAACAGCCAGGAGGAACAAAAAATGTGCTCAGTTTATAGGGTAAACACACAGACCCAAAATGCTTCTGCGCAGCTTGGTTCTCGGTGGATTTTCCGCCGTCCTCTTGCTGCGAGGCAAACTTTGGAGCCTCTTTGAATGTTAGGCTCGGCACTGAAATATCAAAGTGCGCCTCAGTTTCTCGGCCACCGTTGCACTTTTTGTGGCTGCTTCATCCCTTTAAAAGGTCTTAAACATGCTAGCATGGAACAGTTGGGCTCTCAAACGTAAGGAAATTTGGACAGAAGCAGGCTGAAAATGAACGATGGGAAATGATGGAGCTTCTTTTTAAGCGGGCCACAAAGGACAGCCGGGCTCTTCTAGAAGCCGTTTCTGCCCCTGATGCCTCGGAGGACGCTTGGTCAGCCCTCCCCTTTTAATGCTAGGTTGGAAGTTTCTCTTTCGCTCTTGTGGAATGGGTTTTTTTTTAAAATTTATTTTGCGTCTACTAACTGCTGTGCTTCGGTCATTTGGATGGTGACCCTTAGTGAGCCTTCAGAGTCACAACATCACTGAACAAAGTGACTTACAACCATTTTTCACCCTTACGACCATTGAAGCTTCCCCCGGTTGCCCGATTGAAATTCAGGTGCTTGGCCACTGACTCATCTCTCTGATGGCCGCAGTGTCATGTTTTTCGACAAGCAAAGTCAGTGGGGGAGGCCAGTTTCACTTAATGACCGTGGAAGGCCTCGTCCTGTCCCTGAGCCCTTGGCCATTGGAGCAGGCTTGGGTATGTGTTTTGTGTGAGGAGGGGCCCCTGCTGAGTGACGAATGCTGTTGTGATCTCTAATACTTCCAGGACCAGAGTGGACGCCCCCCGGCTGGAGACTCGGTCGCTGAGTAGCTCTGTGTTGGTCCCTGGCTACGCTTCGGACCGCCTCTCCGGGAGCAATCGGGACCCCCTCCTGAAGCCAAAGAGGTCCCATCGCAAAGCAGACCCTGACGCAGCCCACCGGTAAGAGGCTCCACGGGAGGCCGGCTGGCCCTGGTGGGGGGGCGGGGGAGCGAGACTTGGCCGGGTGCAATCTCGGCCTCTCGGAGTGAGTCCCCGCATGCAGATCTCTTCTTCTTCTCCTCCTCCTCTCAGCCCTCGAATTTTAGAGATGGATAAAGAGGAGAACCGGCGCTCGGTCCTCTTGCCGAAACACCGGAGGCGGAGTCATTTCAGCTCTGAGAACTATTGGCGGAAGTCTTACGAGTACACAGAAGACTTGGAGGAGGAGGACGAGGAGGAGGACGAGGAGGAGGACGAGGGGAGTCCGGCACGGAAAGTGAAAATGAGGCGGCATTGAGGAATTCTTGGACACCCACATGCTCCTTCCCCAGTCTTAGAGGTGATGAGACTGGCCTTCAGGCTGTGAAATTGAATCTCCCCCCCCTTGACCCTCTCTCAGTTATTTCTCCTTTAGCTTCGAGGCTATATTGCCCCTCCTCTTCCTGTTTTATCTTGAAAAAGAGCTGGAACAAATCTGGCTTCCTTCCTTTCCTCCCTCCCTCCCTCCCTCCCCTCAGCATCCAGGCTGACTAGGATGGATGTGGGGCCGCCTGCCTGCTTTCTCGGGGCAAGTGGCCATGCCTCATAGCAGAGGCAGCTTTTGTTTTTTTTTTAAAGAAGAAGAAGAAGAAAAAAAGCTCTGTGGTTCCATCAGGTGTTGGGCTGGAGCAGATTTTGAAGATGCCAAAAAGCGACGCATTGAGTACATGGTGGGGTGGCCGAGTTCCCTCGGCTCCGAAGCTGCTGCTGCTTCCGAAGGCTCCCCCCCCCCCCCCGGGGTTTTGTGTGTGTCCTGTTTGATGCCATAACATTTCCCCCTTCCTTCCTTCCTTCCTTCCTTGCTTGGGCTAGCAAGCACCTGTGTGTTTCCTGCGCTGCTGCTGCTAAGAGTTTAGTCTGTTTTCTTTCTGTGAAGGAAGTTCAGCAGTCCCAGCTCGGGGCTGCTGCTGCTGGAGGGCTCTCTGAGGTGGGGGAGAGGGGGGGGTGTCGCTTGGCCAGGAACCCCAGGTTCTGCTCAAGTCTTCACACTAACAGCACGGGAGGCAGGCAATGGGGGGGCTGCAATTCCAGCATCGAAGAGCCCAGGAGAACGATCTGTTGGGGGGAGCAAAGAATTTTTATTAATATGGCTGTCACTTCCGATGACTGAAGGTCAACCTTAGGCTGCTGTCCTCAGTCCTTGAAGCCAGGTGGTCAGGTATGAGGAAGCACGGAGGTTTCAGAGGTGGAGCCCTTCTCGGCTCTTGGTCCTGTTAGGTCAGGAGGGTCCAACCTTGGCGACCCTGAGGCTCATGGGCTTCAACTCCCAGGATTCCCCAACCAGCCATGCTGGGCTTGGAAGTCCACAGGTCTTAAAAGTTGCCAAGGTGGGACCCCCGTGGATTAGGCCGAGCCGTTTCCTGGTGAGCAAGGCTGGAGCTGCCAAGTTGGCACCACGTGGGAAGCAGGGAGATGGTTCTGCCCCAGGCAGGAGGGGAGGTTGGGTGGCATCATCAGTCCTGCTCTCCCCCCTCTCTGAAGCGCCTGGCCACTAATCCCCACGCCTGAGCCCGCCAACCCCACCTCCTCTGTCCACCTCCCACGATTGTATTGCCTGTCCTACCTGCACGAGAAGGTAATGCCCCCACCAACCGAGAGCAGCGCTTTCGGGGAAATCAAGCCCGGATTCTACTCTGGGAGTAGAGAGACCGTTTTCCCTGTGGATCTGGGTCTGAATGCCTGCTGACCTAACGCTCTTTGAGAAGGTGGTTCTTTCCTGAGGCGCCCTCCTTCCTGCCTTCTGCAGCAGAGAGCGAGCAGAGTTGGTCCCACTGGCGCTTGGTTGCAGTGAGGGACCCCGGGTGGCTTTAAAGCAGGTTGTGCGTCTCCTCCTGTTCATTGTGTGGCTGCGGCTGCCGGCCGGGGAGTGGAGGGAACTGTTGGGAGAAGGGATCCCTCTTTCTCGCCTCACGTACCTGCACGGGGGAGCGAAGCAGAACACCTAACGCAGTGCTTCTCCACCGTGGCCGCTTGAGGATGCGTGGACTTCAAATCCCAGAATTCTGGCTGGCCGGGGAGTCCTGGGAGCCGAAGTCCACACACCTTCAAGCAGCCAAGGTGGGGACCACTGTCCTAACCTCAGTGGCAGGTCCTGAAATAGCCTGACCAGCAGCTTATGGCCGGTGTCGGGTTTGGTATCTCAGAATACCTCCAGCTGTTTCTGCAGAGTGGCCAGTTTGGAGTTTTGACCGAATCAAAGCGACCAGTTTAGCCTTCCGGTGATCTGAACCTCCCACTGGGGCTTTAGCAAAAGTGGCCATTGGGGGCCTTTGTCCGGCAGCCCAACCCAGCTCAGCCTCAGGGAATCCCAGGACTTCGAGCAAAAGCGAAATTTCTGCTCTTTTTGAGTTTTTCCTTCCGCGCTGGGGGTGGCTGGCTTGGCGGGAAGGGCGACCCCTCCTGTGTCCCATTTTTAGTTTTTAATGTTTGGCTGGAGGGTTGTTTCTCAAGGCCAGGTCAGAAAGCAGGAGGGGCTCGTTAGCTAGCCTGCTGCTTCTGTTTTTATTCGATTTTATTTTATTTTCTCTCTGCCTCCCCCCCCCCCGAAGCCTCTCCTGCCCGGAGGGACAAGAAGACGCGTAGGTGGCTTTTCCAAGCATCTGGGCGACTCTGATAGACCCGTGGCCTTATCTGGTCCTTGCACCTGTTTCAGTGCTGGCTGCCTCTCTCTCTCTGCGGGAACTGCACCAACACCAGAGCGGCCGACATCTGCGTCCCCCGAGGCTTAGTGTTCTTGGAACCGCGTGCAGAAAGTTGAGCAGAAAGGGCTCTCTGCACATGCTCTTTCCTTTCCCTGTGGGCCTCCCCCCCCCCCGTGGGTTGACTTGGTTGTAAGAGGCAGGCGGAGGGTGGAAGGGAACAACACTCCGCGTCCTGCGAGTCGGAGGACCTTCCAAGGAGAACCGAAATCCTTGTGTCAGTGCTGTTAGTGTGAGGTTTCAGAGGGGCCTCCCCTGCAAAGGACCCTGCCTTAGCCTGTCCGTCATACCCAAACTGTTGCCGAAAGCTGGGATTGGCACAGCCGGGGGTCTCTCTTCCAGCAGATTCTGGCTGGTTTAGCTTTTCCCAGGGGGGGGGGTGTCGCACCTGCGTCAGGAGCTGGGACTTTTTATTTGCTTTAAAATGCACCTGGGTTTTCCTTGCACCGCCCGGCTCCTTCCAAGCACACACTTTAAAATAAAGTTCTGGCTGACTTTTTGTGTTTTTTAAATAAATAAATAAAAAATCTAATTGTTTTGTTACAAATAAAATAAGTGGCAATATTTTTTTCGGTAAATTTTTCATAGGAAAAAAGTGTGATTTGTAAACAAATTGTACAGTTCTGCAGTTTGGGATACATAAAATAACTGTACTGAGTGGCACGCTGTAAATGGGGTGGGGGGGGGAGAGATTATTTTCCATACAGTGTATTTGGGAAGAAATCTTTTAATTCGGGTTGATTTAGGAAGAAATATAGTTCCCTGTCAAGGGTTTGAATTTTTTTTTTCTTGTATAGAATGCTGCATTTAACTAAATAAAAGCTGAAAGCATCACTTGATTGACTTCGGTGTTTGGATCAGTGTATTTTTAAAAAAGGAAAACCTTCGTGCAGTGCCAGTTCAACACTTGTTAGGCCTGGGAAGTTTTAGATGCATTTCCTATATTAACTGTAACCCTTAATTACAATAGCAAAAAGAAATACAAACTGAGAGGAGACTGGCAAGAAAGAATGAAAAGTGGAAAAAAGAAAAATGTGATAAAGGAAGTGACTTCCAACCTTCATCACAAGAAGTATAAACAAATTTAATAACCCCCTGTAAGGTCAAACAGATATCTCTCCATCCCATATCCTAATCCCTCATCTACAAGTGAATCTAAACAACTTTTCAATCCTGGAGTCAGCAAAAAGTCCATCAAGGGTTTCCAGAATAAATGTTTTCTTTTCATCTTGATCAAATAAACTGACTTTCTACTCCTTCCTTTTACTTCTAACAGTCTCCTTTAATTCAATCAAATATTCTTGTAGGATTTGATTTCTCCTTTTTCTTGGAGAAGCACAGATCTCTTCACGGTTTTATAACAAGCCTCTTCGTAGATCCAATGAGTAACATATTTTCCAGCTCATTCTCTTGGCTTATCATTCATATTCCCCCTTTAACATTTAAAACTTCATCCAGTTTCCTTCGTATATCCAGTAAAGCATCTTCCAAATCCTCTTGGCCTGCTGTTTGACGCTTCACTTTTGGTACTTTCTCTGCCTTGTCAAATAAAATCTCCCAGCCCTCCTGATTTTGCAACAAGGACGAGGCCGTTTCTCTTTCTTGAAAATCTGGACCCGAATGGCCAGGCAGCCATCAGATTTTTGCATTATTCTCTTAACCCACAAGGTGGTGCAGGATGCCAGGCTAAAGGCTGGAAAGGAAGTGAAGAATGGGACAGTGTGGAACAGTCATTGTGCAAGTCAGGAAAAACCTTAGGGCAGTTTTGCTTCGTAGATCCAGCGTCCCAATCTTGATCCTATGGGGAAGAGACCGATTTGAACGTTGGTAGGATGATGAAGGCTGGGTTCAGTAGCCCAAATGGGCAGGAAACAATTTTCTAAATACCACCATGAAACGTGGAAGGGAAAAGATCCTTTCCCCCCACTAGTGCCAGACTCTTGGAGAAGGGAAATCTGGCATCCCACATTGGCTGAGCCCCCAAACGACGGAGGGGGCCAGATGAGAATCCTGACCCTGTGACTAATACAATTAATTTTGCAGGAAAAGTGAAGCTGTCGCTATATTTAACTTGCCAAAGAAAGTTTATTTACAGAACTATTTCTATTCCGCCTTTGGTCCCCAAACGGATGTCCCTTTTATCTTTGTTTGGTGAGGGTACGGTAGACCAGTATTTCACAACCTCCCCCCCCCCCCCCACTCCCTTCTATGGTGCTGGAAGCCACTTAGAAATCATTAGTGTTTGAAATTTTAACCTGGGCAGGCACAGCCCCTCCTTAAATTTTCCAGAGTGCCAGTTTACTGTCTCCGTTCACCCCTTCCTGGCACATTTCTCCATCTGGGAAGGAAGACAAAGCACCTCACCCCCACACGGGTGCCCTTCCCCACCTGGTCCCTGGTCTTCTGCCAATGTGGCCTCTCTCCAAATGAGGTCCTGAAGGTGCCTGGCTATTAGGGGGGAGCCTCACATGACTGGGGCTCCCTCCTCTTTTCAAGAGGAGAGCCTCCCACTGCTTTTCGCAGGCTGGGCCCCCCTCTCCCCGTCATTCTGCCCTGCTTACGCCAGGCACCCGTGCCCTAGGAAGTCTTTGCCATCCGAAGCAGAGGAGCAGCACAGAGGAGCAATTGTCAGCCAGCGTCTCCCAGCTGCAGAGGAACAAACGTCGCTTTGACACGTGCAGCTGAAGCTGCTTCCGAGGCAGAGCCGACAGGCCGGACCTCTTAAGACCCCTCAGCGCAGTATCCCTGGGGGCGAATTCGCCCCTCTCGGTGGCTCCTGGACTCCGGTTAAGGATAGACAATCAGAATAGAGCTGGAAGAGGCCTTTGAGATCATCTTGTCCAGCCCCCCGCCCTATCCCATTTCAGACCAGTGGCTGTCCAGTCTCTTCTTAAAAGCCTCCAGTGATGGAGCAGCCACAACTTCTAGTGGCAAGCTGTTCCACTGGTTAATTGTCCTCACTGTTAGGAAGTTTCCCCTTAATTTCAGGTTGCTTCTCTCCTTGATGTGTTTCCATCCTTGAGGCCTCGATATGCTCCTATGCAGCAGCCGTCCCGTTTTCTCCCCCCTCCACCCACCCCCTCCTAGCCCCAATGTGGTCCCCAGTCACAAGCTGTGAGTACCAGCCTTTCCCGGCAGGTCGCTGACCTCATCTCTCTCTCTCTCTCTCTCTCCCCCCCACCCCCGTTTGTTCCCCTCCGCGGCGACTTCAATGCTGTGTTGACATTCTCCAAACTGTTGACTGGAGAGCCGCATGGCACTGAATGAGGCTTGAGGCTTGTTTTGTACCCAGAATTGCACATCTGGTTGGGTAGGTGGCTGGGAGATGGGTTCAAGAAAGGAAAACAGTGGTGTAAACAGACGTTGGCCAGGGAGAAAAGACAGACCTGGGTAAACAGGAGCCGGAAGCAAACGCAAGCAGCAATCTGCCGGTGTTGCAATAGAGCGAAAACCCGGGACGACGATGCAGGCTTCCTTCAACCTCTGTGGCATCTTCTCTGCCTTTTTAAACGCGCTGTTTTAGGGGTGCAGATGTGTTGGCTGCTTGTCCTACCTTTGCCTGATTCCCAGCAAAGGGGGGGGGGGTTGCACCACTGGGAGAGAAGAGCCAAAGACGGACACAAACACAAAAATACTTTCCACAACTGCTGCGCTCTCTGCTTCCTTGCCTCGCGTCCTGGTCCCTCCTTGTCTCTTCCGCAGGAACTGCCTTTTGCATTCCAGGTGAGGGTTCCAAGATGGCCTTGCTTGCTTGCGCAACCGGCAGCCCGCCTGGATCTGAAGCATGTTGTTGTTGTCGAACTGGTTGCCTGCAAATCTGGCCCAGTGAATGAATCATCCCTTCCTCAGCTCGTTAGCTGCTCGGTTAATTACAAACAGCCCTTGTTTTTGACGGGACTTGGGGAGGGGGATTCGGCAGAGATCCCAGGGGAGAGGAGAGCCTTATATGAGGGGTGGGTGACTATGTCAACTTTAGGAGACCCGTGGACTTCCAATTCCCAGAATTCCCGAGCCAGCATGGATTCTGGGAGTTGAAATGCACAGGTCGTAAAATTGCGATAGTTGCCTACCCCTGGCCCCCCTTTTCCCCTGTTCAAGTCCTTGATCTTTGGGTGCAAATGGCAAACTCAAGACTAGAACAACAAACCACACCCCACAGCACAAAACCACACATCCAGCTCTTCCTTTTCCATCCTGCCAAATAAAACCAAGCTGACTTATCTTGCATATCAAATAAAAGAGCCCAACGCGTGTTCTTGGCAAGGCCTCATTAACCCCAATGGCACAAAAGGTAGCGACTTTAGTGATCCAGCTTTCTAGGGGGTGTTCAGGCACCCTCCACACACACAGAGCTGCTTGTTAATGAATCCAGATGTTGGACCAACTCACCAAGTCTTGTCAACTCTCTCCCCAGCCCCGGCCTGCCAAAGACACCAGTTGTGTTGCACAACTTGCCAAGTCCTTCTTTGACCACAATTTATTGAACTGGGCAGAGCTGGCAGGTTTCACACAGCCTGCTAAGCCAGAAGTAAACCTGGTTGGAAGTTCAGGGGTGTTGTGTGAACTCAGCCCGAAAGGTGGGCTGCTTACTTGGGCTGCTGCAGAAATCAAAGAAGATCAATTATATTTCGGTGTCCAGTGCTTGCTATTTTCTTCATAGTCAGTTTGCAGCCAGACATTCTCTCTGCCCTTCTCATCAACACATGTGAAACAATTCTCCCTCGTTTTCAAGCAATCACATCCTTCCAGGGAAGCCAAGACACTATCTTGTTCTAGACCTTTGACTACAATAACTTACACTGCTTACAAAGTGTCCCTTTTATTCCTAAGCCTCCCTGTAATTTACTAGGCTTACAAAGAGATGATTTACACCAGGTGTAGACGTGGCCTGTTGTAAAGAACCAAGCACCAGATGCTGGCTTGTCTGCAAAGGCAAATGTTCCTAATTATACTTTTTCCACTGCAGTGCAATTTAAATTCCTGCCCTTGGAACGGTGGCTCTGCTGGTGCCAAGGTCCTAGAGAAAGAAGCCACAGCAATGTTTGGAAAAGCAGAGTCGCTCCCACCACGCGGGAATGTCATTCTTGGTTTAGTGAATCCAGGATAGAAGATGGTCAGGAGAAGAGACTGAAAGAATGTGGAAATACATTGGGAACTATTGGAAGAAACCTGGTTCGACAGATGTGCAACATGACAATATCTGGAAAATGGTGGTAGTTGTGAGATGATGCTTAACAATAGTGGATTAAAAGTTTGAAAACCTAAGTAACGGTTGTATTTGCAAATGATCTGAGACTGCAGCATTTCACAAATAGATTGTGTGATGTGCTCTCGAAACATATTCTGGGTGTTATCAAGCTTGTCCAAAGTCTGAAGCCATGATGGCCACTTGGAAAACTCTGACACTGAACTTCCCCTCCTCTGCTTGTGTTTTGCATTTGGAACAGATTTCTGTTCAGGTGGGGAGGGAGAGTACAACTCCTTAGCACCAGAGCATGTTAACAACAACAACAACAACAATAACAATAATAAAATGAAATGCTAATGCTCTGATGGTCATTTGGAAAAATCCTTTCTTA